TCAGTGTGCCTTCTTCTTTGCTTCTCTAGTTGTGGGACTTCCACTCAGCCAGCTTTCAGGCAGTTCTGAATGATGGTTGTTCTGTATTTTAGTTGTAATTTTGATGTGGTTGTTAGAGGCGGAGAGTAAAGTGGGGTTACCTCCACCGCCATCTTGGTTCTCTTTATACAAATAATTTATTGAAATAGATGTTCTAGAAATCTCAGTCTACTCCTGGAAGGAACTTACAAAGATTCAGAGCCAAGTTCAAACAGGAAGCTCCCAGGGGTAGCAAGTGTCCGGTCAGGGACACCAGGCATGCCGAGAGCGATGGTTCCCTGTGGGGCATCTGGCAGTGATACTCCAGATGTTTGTGTTCCATACATTGGGCGTTTATGCATTATTTTCAATGCTCAATATAGCCTTCCAATAAGCCATGTGCCACATTTTAAAATCTTACATATTATTTGTTCTTTACATGCTGAAATTATGTATTGAATCTAAATATATAGACTTTATATTTTTCTCTATGTCATTTTACAGTAATTATTATTTACCAAGAAACTGTTGTCTTGGAATGTTATAACATAAAAAAAGCAAAGTTTTTAATCAATTGCATTATAATCAACTCTATGACCATGTCACTTTAAGCTTTGTCATTCATAGACAGTCATTGTTTTACTCTGCATTTGCAGATATGTTACATCTTTAGAAAAATCCATGAAAAGGACTCTGACTTAATCTTAAAGGCAGGTTTCTAAGCAGGTCATATCTTTTTTATTTTTTAATTGACTCCAGAGAGGAAGGGAGAAAGAGAGAGATAGAAACATCAATGATCAGAGTGAATCATTGATCAGCAGCCTCCTGCACGCCCCCACTGGGGATTGAGCCCTCAACCCCGGCATGTGCCCTTGACCAGAATTGACCCCGGGACCCTTCAGTCCACAGGCAGACGCTCTATCCACTGAGCCAAACCAGCTAGGACTAAGCAGGTCATATCTTTGAACTGGATGAAGATTTAAGATAGAACTTTAAAGAATAACTAAATTCATAAAAAATACTGGCAAATAATCAGAATAAACAAAAATAGGTATGGGACTAAATGAATTTAGACTAATTATTATTCTTATGACTGTTTAAATATTGCTGATCTTTAAATCTTTTGTGTCCTAAATATAAAGAAAACTAAAAAGTAAACATTCTGCATCCTGGGAACTAATAAGTTAGTAACATTCATTTCACACTAGGAAACCATAGCACCTACAGGTTTACTCACACAAATGTGTGCCCTGGGCCCTGGGGACCTAATCCTCCAGGCAGGCAGGAAGAGTTAACCCCGGGAGGGCGAGGGGGGGGAACCCCTTCACTGCACTTGCTCGCTGAAACCAAATGCTGCCGCAGAACCCCAGGCATGCATGCGCAGCTGAAGCCAAAATGATGACCTGCCAGCCCGGGAAAACCTGGGAGAAGAGCCAGGCCGAAGAGGCAGTGCAGAACCCCGGCAGGTTCAGAAAACTGACCAGCCAGGGAGGGAGGCCCAACCCAGGCCCCACCCAGGCCCCGGGAGAAGCAGGAAGCAGGCCAGGGGCCTGAATGGCAGCCCGCTCGCTACCGCTACCAAGAATTAAGAAAACACACAGACCCCCTAGCCGGTTTGGCCCAGTGGATAGAGCGTCGGCCTGCGAACTGAAGGGTCCCAGGTTTGATTCCAGTCAAGGGCACATGCCCGGGGTGTGCAGGAGGCAGCCAATCAATGATTCTCATCATTGATGTTTTTATCTCTCTCTCCCTCTCCCTTCCTCTCTGAAATCAATAAAAATATACCAGTATTTTAAAAAAAGAAAGAAAGAAAACACACAGAGGATCACCTGCCCTCCACATCTCCAGGGCACATCACCTCCCCGTCGCCTGATAAAATCCCTCCACCATACCCTCATTGGGAGGGAGGGATTTTCCCTGTGTGCCCCCCCTCCCCCCGATCCCCCGCCCAT